TGATTTCAACAAAATCGAAAAAAGGACACATGGCACATAGGATAAAGGCATTGGTTAGATCCAGTGACAAGAACCCAAAGAGTTGTGAGTTCAATACCTAGTTAAGGCAGTGGAGAACTTGGAGAGGGGAGATAACTGATAACTGACATCCATTAGACACGGCATGTTGAACTAGAAGTCTACCCCAGTGAGCGAAATAAAGGGTTTAGTTCGACATTCCAACCACCTGAAGAAGGCCGGAGCGTACAACGGCCGAAATGTTGTGATAACTATGGCAACAAAGATGAGGACAATAGTCCGAAAAATGTAAATAATGTACATAATACTTCATCTCTCATTCGAAGATATTTTTTCTTTACGTCTTTTTTTTTTTTTTTTTTTTAAACTTGACCTCCTGCAGCTCTCCTTCCGGTGCTGCTTCCGACCACACGAATAATGAACCACGCAACCGGTGTGGAGTATACACCACAACATTTGCATACCACTTTCGTCACACAATTGTATTTTGCTAATTATTATGCCGTAGTGAGATGAGGATGGGCTCTTGGGCTTTCTCTCTCTCTCCCCCCCTCTCTCTCTCTCACACACACACACTCAAACACTCACATGCATATTGTTATATTGGAATAAAGTGTCGCTTCCGAACTTGAACATAGGTCGCCAGTGAGCAAAGACAGCTGATCCCATTATTGAATTAAGTAGACCACGTGACCATAGAGGAAACGCATATATAGGAAATCGTGTGACGTCTAAAAGTTCGCTATTTCTTGTCTATCCTTTGTTAATATTCGGATCGTTATTTCTAATCTATCCTCTATTACCATACAGATCTGAATTTCTACTCTATCCTCTATTACTATACGGACCGCTATTCTCTATTCACTAAACTATTTCTCTATTCAGATCACTATACGGATTACTATTGGAGAGAGTATTATCGAGCAAGTACCATTAGTGCGAGTGATATTCGGAGGCATCTGACACCAGTATTGTTGAAAGGCATTACTATAGTTGCAATCTCCGATTACAAAGTGTCTACTACAACAAGTATTGCGAAAGTGACAACGTGTATTCGTTGACATCACAAAAGTGGCAAAGAGCGTTCGTTGACATCACAATATATATATATATATATATATATATATATATATATATATATATATATATATATGTATGTATCCTTCAGCATCTCAACCAAAACGGAAAACGATTAAGAATTTTTTTTTTGCATTTGGCAGGACTGAAACGGAACAGGGAATCAGTTCAAATTCCGACCTCGTTTGTTCCGCTCATTTTTACGTGAATCACACTCTTCTTCTTCCCAGCTAGAAGTAAAATAGTAGGGTAGACTGTTCTCTCTAAGCTTGGCTGACAACTAGTCTGAGAGAAAAAAAAATTCTAAACGGTGGAGAAGGCGACGGGAAAAAAAATTTCACTGTCATTTCTAACAAACCATAGCAATTCGCAGGGTATAAAGAAACCGAAGTTGTGGAGAGCCATTATCGATATGATATTAAGCCAAATATTTTTACAGTAAAGAGAACGGCTAGGTTAAATTTCTGGCTCTTGAGCTAACTCCAAATTAAAATTCATTGGTTTTAATAACAAAAATAAATAAATAAATAAACAATTAAAAAAACCCCCAAAAAACAAAAACAAAAAATAAAAACAAAACAAAAAAGCGTGTAAATTTTTCCTATACAATTACACCACCACCACCACACCCACCACTAACAACAACAACAACAATCTCAGCCTTTGATACAATGCAGTAAGGAGCTATACTTTTACATTGTTGATGCCAAATTCTGGCCATGGGATCTAACAAAAGAAACCGGGGTTCATTTGACTAGGCAACTATTGGCCAATTTCTTCTTGTCCAATTTTTATTGTCTTTAGCTCGGTTTCTCTCGGTTCATTGTTTTTTTATCTGATAGATAAAGAACCAGACGGAGTTTTCAACTGCTGCGACACAACTGCTTCAAGTTACGAAGTTTTCTGCGTTCAGAGATGCTCTTTTGGCATATCATCGCTGTAAAGATTGGTTATTTGAGCTATTGTTGTTCTTAGATCAGCTGGAACCAATTCTGCTATTCTTCTCCGACCAAAAAGATATTTCCAGCAACAGAAATGTTGCTTACTGGAATATTTTCTATTTTTTAGCATTCTCTGTGAAGACTAGGGATGGATGTAAGCGTAAATCCCAGTAGTGTTTTTTTTTAAAAAAACGCTTAGACACGCCCGTCTAGTACAAACGAATATACAGCATGCAACATCAGGCTTATTCCTCATATTAATGCAAGAAAAGGAATTTAGAAGGTTTTAATGGCTATCTTTAAATGTCGACAAACTATCTATCTATCTATCTATCTATCTATCTATCTATCTATCTATCTATCTGGTGTACTCTAGGGAAGGTTACTGAATAGAATAATCACATGAAGGTTGGTAATGAACGATAATACTTAGAACAAGAACAGCAGATAAGATTCGCCAGCGGCGCGTAGAAATAGTAGTCGACTGCTAGAAGTGAGTCAAGTGAATTCCACAATGAATTTCCAACTGCAGGATATCTACCAACCGCCCCACGCGGTCAGATGTGGTACAAGGCCGAATTTAATGTGGGGTATCCGAGCCCGTAGGCTCGGCCAAAAATTCCACGTAGACTTCGTATAAAACGCGGTCGGGTACTGTTTCTCAAGACGAGGCTCTGCACTTCGACATAGCCTCGTCTGGGAATCCTCTCTGCTCGGAGGCAGAGAGTTGGACCAGCACAGCTGGAGACGAATCTCCAACTGCAGACCAACATACAGTATTTACTACTGTATTTATCTGAATGGGGACATACCCATTATCGTCCGTAGGTATGCTACAAAACTATCATCAAAACAATTGCCATTAAAATATTTGTAGAAAAGACAGATGGAAGCCATGTCACATCGATGGGAAAGTGACTGAAGTCAAGATGCCAGGTCAGGATCGATTACATTACAGACACTTCTTTGAATTTTGTCAAGAATGTTGTAATAAATAGTAGGTGTACAAGACCATTATTGCAGCAGTATTCAATACACGGGCGAATGGTGTTAGATTCATAAATTTACAAGATGGATTCTTAGGAGAAAAAATGTCTGACATATAACAGTGAACCATCTATTCTCGTAGTAGACGTAGCAATGGATTCAATATAATAACTCAAGTTGATGTCAGTGGAAAACGTGATTCCAAGAAGTCGTATGCTAATGTTCTCCTACCTGTCTATCTGATTCTGTTCATATCTATCTATCTATCTATCTATCTATCTATCTATCTATCTATCTATCTATCTATCTATCTATCTATCTAATTCTGTTCATTATCTACGGTGTGCGATGGATAAATTGTTGTCATAATTACTCGAACATGGAAATATTACTGACATCTCATTTTACTAAAATTACATAAAAATATCTTGAAATACTAAATTTTTTCAATAAAATTGTCATGGGTTTCAACCACGGCCTTCAGACGACTTCAGAATCTCCTGCAACTCTTCTAGACGGGGTCCTTGTTTAAGTTGGTGACAGCTACCATAATCTTTACCTTCTCATCTTTGGTGTTACAGTTAGTTTTGTTGGTCTCTCACTCAACTGCACCCGACACATCGTAATCAAAGAGGTTGCAGTCTGGGGAGTTAGGTAGCCAGATGTAAGGGTTGATGTGGGGCAGAAATTGTCCGACAGCCATGACTGGTTTCTCCTGCTTGTGTAGCATGGTGCAGAGTCCTATTGCCAGATATAGGGTCTTCCAGCAGCCACCCTCTTGACCTAAGGCATTACTACCTCCTCAGAGCACTTGATATATCCCTCTGTGTTGAGTCTGAGACCTTGAATGGAGGTATAACGTCGCTACCACTAGTAATCACTCCAAATACCATGATGTTTGCTGGATATTTGGTTTTCATCACTCTCAGTACATCTTTCGGGGATCCAGGTTGACACCCAAAGACTCTGGAATGTTTGTATTTGAGCTTCCGGTGAGAATGCCAAGCAGTACCGCATGACGTTTCCAAATTTCCGGCGGAGTGAATGGCTCCATGCTGTGCATTTTCTTGCAGACGGTCCTCAACTTACCCTATTATGTTGTGCAGTCGACAAAATCAAGAGCAAACAACGCGTATGCGTGAAATTAAAAAATAAAATGGCGAAAATTTACCCAATGCACAATCTATCTATCTATCTATCTATCTATCTATCTATCTATCTATCTATCTATCTATCTATCTAATTCCGTTCATTTTCTATCTATCTATCTATCTATCTATCTATCTATCTATCAAATTCTCTTCATTATCTATCGATTTCATTTGGTTCATATCTATCTATCTATCTATCTATCTATCTATCTATCTATCTATCTATCTATCTATCTATCTATCAAATTCTCTTCATTATCTATCTATCTATCTATCTATCTATCTATCTATCTATCTATCTATCTATCTAATTCCATTCATTTTCTATCTATCTATCTATCTATCTATCTATCTATCTATCTATCTATCTATCTATCAAATTCTCTTCATTATCTATCTATCTATCTATCTATCTATCTATCTATCTATCAAATTCTCTTCATTATCTATCTATCTATCTATATATCTATCTATCTATCTATCTATCTATCTATCTATCTATCTATCTAATTCCGTTCACTATCTATCTATCTATCTATCTATCTATCTATCTATCTATCTATCAAATTATTTTCATTATCTATCTATCTATCTATCTATCTATCTATCTATCTATCTATCTATCTATCTATCTAATTCCGTTCATTATCTATCTATCTATCTATCTATCTTGGCGCTTGTGCATTGTCTAGGTTAGAGATTGAATTCCTATGCAACGCGACTCATTTACTTAGCAGGAACCAGTTCATTCCCAAGCTTTGTCAGCTCGGAAGGAAACCAGAACTACCTGGACGAAAAACTTGGCAGTTACAAGCTGAAAAATGCTATGGCAGGGCGCCGGAAATGGACGAAACGAAAAGATAGCGAGCGATCCGTCCCCAAAGCCATAATAAAGTGTTTCGCTTTAGCATTTTACTCCCGGCGTTCCATTTCTTCAGATAATTTCTTCTCCCAAGCAAATTCATTTCAAGCCATAGCAAGGCTTCTCTATTTCCTTCTCGCTACTTTTTTTTTTTATCCTTCATTTCTTTCTGCTTCTCTCGCAGGCATCCACTCCTTCACTACCGACATTTTGTCTTCCACCCTCTATACAACTGACCAAAACTCACACGCTTTTTTTCTCCCCCCTTCCTTCTTCATTTCTCCTCTCTCCCTTCCACTCCACATCTTTCTTTCCTCCTCTCATTGTCATCTTTCTGTTCTTCTCAGCCAATCAATTCGCGAAATTCTCATCTCGATTCGAATCATTACCCTACGCGTCTTACTGTCCATCTTTTAATAAGATCCAACGGAGAAATGACGGCATTGCAGCAAATATCGGGACAGAGGACGAAAGGATGGTGTGACACAGGGCGGTCCGGGTGGAGTCCCCGCCAGACCGCTCGGACATACTTCCTCGCCCTCGTTTCTCCACCTTTAATATTACAAAATGCACGGGAACATCGGGGCTTCTGCGCCTTAATCAAAATTATGTGTCAGGAACAAATGAGAGTAAGATAATATGTAGCCAGTAAAGAAAAGTAGATGAGGTGATGAATAGATACGATGAGAATGTGATGGATATATGCAGAGATACAAACTAAGAGAGACAGATACGAGAAGACTGACCGAGTTATATGGGCAGGAATAGTGAAATAGATAAACGTGATCATATGACGATAAATACAAACGGATTGAGATGAATATAAACAGACTCTTTCTCTGTCTCTCACACACACATACATACACACACACACACACACACACATATATATATATATATATGAATTGAAAAAGATAGTTTTGAACATAGATACGAACAAATCGACAGTACTACATGGTTATGAAGACATTGGAATAACGAACGTGATCATCTCTATTTATAAAAGGCAGGATGTGTGTGTGTGTGTGTGTGTGAGTGAGTGTAACGAATGTACTGCCGCAATTTTCGACGGATTTGCACCAACATTTACATGCACATGCTCCAAGTTAGTGAAAAGGCCAAGACCGACTTTGCATTTCCAAACTCCCATCGATTGTGGAAATAATCGATTTTTTCATGCTTCTACGGCAGTTTTCATGTAGTTTGCGGCCATTTTGTACTGGCCAGAGTGAGAGCCTATAGCTGGCTGCCACGAATAGGCAGGAAGATTCTATTGGCCAGCGTGAGAGCCAACAGTTGACTGACACAAAAGTTAACTAGCATGCTAGCATGCAAAAAAAAAATCGATAGCTGCATTTGTCACAAGTGGGAAAAATTTAAATCTGTATGGCACTTTACTCCAATTAGCTCATTCGCTTGCTTAAACTCAACGTTGATTCTGATTCTGCAGAACTGGGTTAGGTGTGAAAAAGTATTTGTTGTTAACATTCTTTTTCCATTCGGTTTTTCCAGTTACGAGTCCTTTTTTAAAGTTGATCGTTTTTTGTTCATTTTGTTTAGTTTTTTTTTTTTTCGTAACAGATTTAATGTTTAGTAGAGTTAGAAAAAAAAATTCTCGCAGTGTGAGATAGGCAAGAAGTAAGGCATATAGCAACATCAGCACGGCAAAGGGCACTCCTTTAAAGGCAAGGAAGAGCAAAAATATTTTAAGTCAAGTGAGAGCGATTGCTGTATGAGTCGTACAATTTTTGAATCAAGCACGGGCAACGCTGCTAGTATTCCTATAAATGCAATCAGTTTGAGATAAATATGAACTCTCACACACGCACATACACACACACACACACACACACACACACATATATATATATATATATATATATATATATATATATATATATACGAATTGGCAGTTTTGAACATACATAGATACGAACAAACATAGAGTGAAATAGATGAACGTAATTATATTTCGATAAATACAATTAGACAGATATAGATAAAAACAAGTTGATATATACATATATCTCATTCACAGACAGTACTGTTTCGCAGTTCCTCAATACGACTAGACAACCAAATGCAATGAAACTGCATTAATCTATCCAAATATGTTGCAGAATTTTTCGTGTCTTTGTATTCATTAATCTGTTAATTCTGTTCATACCTAGCACTTTCAGTTTTCATCTTCAGTAAAATGAATGGAACACTATAGCTGTTTGTGCGTTTGTAAAAACAATACAAATGCAATTTATGTTCAGAAAAATACTTATACGAACACAAGAAAAAATATATATGAAAAAGCATAATCGCAGTACCTTGTCAGTCAAATTAATGAAACATGTATAAAAGCGGGATTGCTGCCCAAATACACAATATGTATATAAGAGACACGGTGGAGTAATGGATAGCGGCCTGGATTGAGGAATAGGAGAGCCGAGTTCGAATTCCAGTCGAATCCATTACGCGCTAATCCCCTTGGGAAAGGTATGAATCCTCTTCTTCTCCCTCCAGCTATGGGTAAATAGGAGGACAGACTGGGTTCTATAGCCTTGGATGACAACTGGTCTAGGAGAAGGACAACTCTGAATTCAAAACCTGCGGAGTGTCGTTTGGGGACCTTGTGGCACTCAGTGCATCAGGTCTCTGTATTTGGCCCTTCAAATAGGGTGGATGGTCCTGCACAAAACCTTCACCACTATAATCAAATCTCATGTGTCGTTGTCGGTTTCCTGGAAACTGAACTGCTTGACCCTCATACGTCGAATTCGACGGGAGAGTCGACTATATATATATATATATATATATATATATATATATATATATATATATAGCAATGAATGTCTATTATGTCTGATCGTGAGGCTAAAGTTCTAAAGTTCGACGTTTGCTTTGATTTCGGGTGAAAATAAAGAAAAAAATTGCCCCCCATTTGGATATTTTTTTTTTATTAAGCTAGTCCTTGATCTAAGCTTTCGGCTCACATGAGTCATTCAAGCTATTCAGTGAGGTGATTCTGGGAGAATTATTAGTCCGACCCGGATTCATTATTGGCGGCCACAATCTTAACAACATAAGATATACAGATGTCCAAATGTTGATAACAGGCACGGAAAGAAAACTACAAGAACTCCTACAGAAGGTAGTTAAGGAAAACGGGAAGAAACAATTAAACATAAATTGCAAGAAGAGTGAATTCATGGCTGTTATCAAAAGGGACAGCCTAACGTACAAATTACAGATTGGAGATACCAAAATCAAACAAATACAATAACATAAATATCCGGGAAGTGTTTTAATGGAGGACGGAATGTACGAAACTGAAATCTGAAGCACATTGTGATAGCGAAAGATACCACCCAAAAGCTAAGTAAAGTATTAAGGAACATGAAAATTTCGTTAGAAACAAAGATTATGGAAATTGGATTGATTCCTTTACAGTAGTAGCAAAGCGCTGTGTTTTGAAGACGTTTAGTTTGGTACTGCTGAAACCCATAAGTATATAATAGTAAGGACTTCTTCTCTAATAATTATACTAATGTGTTTGATAAAGAACGTCACAAAATACTATTGGAAATGCTAGCTAACCTTGACATATTTGAGAAAGGGCATTAGAATAATCCAAAACCAATACTAGCAGCAAACCACCTGCATACAGTTAGAAAATTCAGTAAATATACAAAAATAGAAAGGTGTTTAAGACAAGGATGTGTCTTCTTACCAGACTTATTCAATCTGCATGCCAAGACGATTCGGAGAGAATTAGAATTCAGACTAGAATTTATTAATGGCGGTCACAGTCTTCACGACATAACATATACAGATAACAAACTATTGATAGCAGACACAGGAAAGAAACTAAAAAAAAAACTCCTACAGAAGTTAGGGAAGGAAAGCGGGAAGAATCAACTAAACATAAATTGCAAGAAGTGAGAAGTCATGGCTGTTAGTAAAAGGAATAGCCTAACGTACAAATTTCAAATTGGAGATTCTAAAGTCAGACAAGTATAACAATTTAAATATCTTAAAAAATGTTTTAACGGAAAAAATATCTTAAAAAATGTTTTAACGCACGGAAAATGCGACAATGAAATTCAAAGGCGTGTTAGGGTAGCCAAAGATGCTTTCCAAATGCTAAGTATTAAGAAATAGAAAAAAAATGTCGTTAGAAACAAAGAAAAGAGTACTGAACTGTTACGTGATTTCTGTCCTTCTATATGGCAGTGAATGCTGGGCAATCTCCTCACAGAAGAGTTCTGAAGCAACAAAAATGTGGCTCTACAGAAGGATGCTGAGAATACAATGGAACGAATATGTGAACAACGACAAAGGTTTATAGAAAATATAAACAAAAAGAAACTTATACTTCATATCAGGAAGTGACAGTTGAAAATTCCAGGGTACTTAATGAGGAAAGACGGTTTGAAAAATCTGATACTCACAAGACAGACTGAAGGCAACAGGGACAGAGGAAAACAGCGCATAACTTAGCGGGCTTGAGTTAATGGATGGTAGAATAAGGTTTAGGAAAAATAACAAAAAACAAATTTATTAAGAGCTACGAAGGAAAGAAAATTGTGGAGAGCCATGACCACCAATGTCCTGAAGGGACACGGCACATAAAGAAGAAGAATAAAACGTCCACCCGAGAAAGACTTGTGTACTTTTGGATCGAAACGGAAAGATGAGGAGATAAATTCATGATATAAGTCATAAAATACTTTCGTATAATCACATGGCCAAGCATTCGCGCATGCGCAGTGAAAATAAAAAAAATACTTCAATGAATAAGAAACGTATCAGCTAGATTTAGTTATGACAATATCGACACACACACATTATTCATCACAATTTTTTTTATCGTTAATATCGGAACGCAGACCCGTTGACCCAGAAAACGAACAAGGCTATAATTTTCACAATTATAATTTCGCTAATTGATTACCATTAAAATTTTCTTTTTATGACGGACATTTTTCCACTAATTTTCTGTGCGTTTTTCTTTTTGACTTTCCGGTTCGATTTTACGTCCAGACAATTTTTCTCGTCTTCTTCAATAACATAGGCAGAAACTTATTTTTATTGCCTCCGTTATGTAGGAGAAAATTAAATTTTTTACCTTCCATTTTTCTCCTTAAATTAAAATGAAGAACAGTACATTTTCATTCGAAGAATTTTATTTTTTTTTATTCAGTCTAAGAAAATAAAAAAATCAAACTAGCAAGACAATTCTTAGAATTATTAAATCGCAAAGGATGCTGGGAATTAATATTTGATTAGATTGTTGTGTCGGCAAAATCGATAGCACCAAATTTTGCCTAACATTCTGAGAAGATAATTATTTGACGTTTTATTAGGGCTGTTATCAATAACTTTGTACTTTGTATCACAAACATTTGATAGATATATCTTTCTAG